CTGCATGCCCTGGACCACCAGCTGTTATCATCTGCTTGTTCAGATATATCTCAAACTTTCACTACAACATTTTAAGGGAGATGGAGTTTGTTTTATAATTACAGTACTCATATCTCTAGGGAGACCTTTTATCTCATAAGCGCTTCCATCTTGCTTTCTGAATCAATCATGATTTATATTGTACGTGTAACACATATTAGATAGAAATGAATAAACTACATGAACCAACTCTAATTCTTCTTTCAGGGTTTTGACTTTACAGAAATGACACCAACAGATATCCAGACTTCTATGAATAAAGTTCAGATTGGACTAAAAATGCTTCCTGGATATTATGCAGTCATGTTCAACAGCCAACAGTTAACATTTTTGTAAGCAATCAGAAATGAGAAGTTGAATGAATATGCAAACTGGCTACCCTTCCTTTTTTTCTGTGACGTGAGCCCTTCAAAACAGAAATGATGTAGGTTCATAAGGCAGGGCATGAATCTGGCACTTTGCCACCGTCTACAATTTATCTGCCCTGTGACAGACAAGTCTCCAGGATGTCGCACTAAACACCTTTCAGAATCTGAAATTTCAAATGTTTCCTCTAGTTCAGGATGCCCAACATGAGATGCTTAATTCTTAAACCAGGCATCTACAGTGGTAACACCAAGGTTTAAAAAATGCTGACTTTGGAACCCTAGCTGTATTAGACTGAAAATTATGAGTTGGTTTATATAGCATCGTTACTGTAATAGCTGCGTTTGTGTGGAGTTTTTAACTTATACAGTAGATTTTCCCAGGTATTCTCCATGTAGAATATTTATTTAGGATGTATCACATATGCCTCTATTAAGACCAAAATACACTGAGATGTGGATGTAGCAATATCCTGCAATATCCTGTCCAATATATTTTTCATAGAGTCATATCAAAGAATCATAGAATGGTTTGGGTTGGAAGGGACCTTAAAGATCATCCAGTTCAACCCCCCTTCCATGGGCAGGGACACCTTCCACTAGACCAGGTTGCTCAAAGCCCCATCCAGCCTGGCCTTGAACACTTCCAGGGATGGGGCATCCACAACTTCTCTGGGCAGCCTGTTCCAGTGCCTCACCATCTTCATAGTGAAAGAAATATTTAGAGAGTACATGTGCTAGGCTGGTATTCTCTGCTCTAACCTATAAATGTCTTTCCAAACAACTTCCTACAGGGATGGGTCACCAGTCAGCACTGGAGCGGTTTGGGCCTCTCTCAAAGGCTTTGCTGTGTTTTGCATTCACATCTCACCCAAAGAGATGAATTGGTTCAGTTTTATGCATCACAGAAGGGGAAGGACAAAAGCATTTGTAGGAGACGGGAATATGGATGGAAGCTCAGAGATCAGTAAAGCTATTGTGCATTTATAGTATTTATGCTTTAGAGCAAAGCTGATGGACAGCTTGCTGCTTTGAGACAGATTCCATCTAGTTTTATTCTTTTGGCTCCCTTTTTAACTCCCCAGCCCTAACCAGCATAGAAGTCCTTAGGGAATTCTGCTATACTGGGCTTTAGCCTCAATGACAGTAATATATGACACTGTGACAATCTGGAAGGCAATGGTCTTATTAAATTGTTTATCGATATAAACCTTACACAAAAGACCAGAAGAAAAATGAGATCCAGTCCAAAATGACAGCACTTTTAAAGTTAATTAGTGCAATTAACAAAAACTAATTAGTAAATAATTGTCCTTCTCAGTAGAAGCTAAGACTTTGATGCATTATTAGAGCCATAAATGAAATATAATAAAATAAATAATTTAAGCCAAATTCATAAACATTAAAAAAAAAAAAGGTTTTAGCACATATCAACAGGCAGGACGTGTCTGTAAATTAATTTTTCCTACCATAATTGTTCTACAGTTTCCTTCACATAAACTGCTTTGAAGCTGGCTGTCCTTCCAAAAGATTCCCAGAGTATAAGAGATGAGGTGATACAGTGAGCACAGTGAATCCTAACTATATGTTTCTGTATGGACAGGAACATATTTGATGGAAAGGAGGAACTGATTGATCAGGCATTCAGAGGCCATGGCTTTATGACATAAGAAGTCCAGCTTTTGGATTTCTTGCACCAAACAAAAAATTCTATGGCCATGTGATGCAAAGCTTGCATAAAGGTAGCATAAAAGCTGGTTAAGAAACAGTACACTGTTGTCCAACGAATTTGCTAGACATGCAGTTGTATGCCTTCATCTGACCCAGTCCGTATTTCAGGTTAATCTGTAATTTGGCCCAGCATTAATGATTATGGAACTGAGGGCTAAGTGCATAGTTCTACAACACATTTCTTTAGCAATAAGGCCAAGTGTGCCAATGCATCTATTTGTGGAGCTGCATTGCAAACTGCAAATTACTAAACTGTTGCAAGTTAAAGAATAAAGTTATGCTTTGGGGGTTTGTTTGATTTTTTTAACCTGTATCACTCATCCTTCATTTCTACTGCTGAGAGTGGCCAGCTGCACTGCAAGGGTGGGGCAGGGGACAGGAATGAGATTTTAGCTTTGCTATGATTATATTCTCATTCTCACTGATCCTGGCTGCCGGATTAAACCTTGAGGCTACAGACAGTGGACATAAATTAAAGTAACCTTCAGACAGCTCCAAACTGCATAAGCAGAAAGGACAGATGAAGTGCACAGAGGCATAAAGACATTTTTGCATATTCGTCTGCTAATCAGTGCTGATCCTCAGCCAGCCTTCAGAGTGGGAGCTAATATTCTAGCACAGCTAAGGCTGAGTTTGGTTATAGATTGACAGTTTTAGGGAATGACAGATAATGGAGGTTTCTGTTTCTGCTTATCAGAGGTAAAGCTCAAGCAATAGCAGAGCAAGCATTTCTGTTCTTCCTCTATATCCAAAAGATACACCTCCCAGTTCAGGACAGATAAAAACAGCTAATGTGGTGCAAAGCACCTTTTCCCTGCTCTCTCAGGGGCTTGTCTGCTTGAGATGAGGAATTCTCAGCCTACTGAAATAAAGCCCGGTGTAAAAAGCTTTGAGAGGCACTACTTACAGCAAATGACAGGCAAGAGCAAGGCAGCAAAAACACATCTCAACTGCCCATACATTTTAGCCTATTTAGAGAAGAGGTGCTGGTTTTCCAGTTGCTGATGACCACTGCTCCTTTGGAGCAGGGACTGGTGCTCAAAGGGCATCAAACTGATGTGGGGTGTCAAGGGGAGAGAGGGGAAGAGGAGAAGGAAAGGGAGAGGAAGAGGAAAGGGAGAGGAGAAGTCTCTAACCCGAGTTGTGTTTTCATGTGAGTAGGAGCAACAATGCAAGAGTGGAAGAAAAAATGTGCTGCCAGGAGGGAGCAGGAGACAGGCCCCTTTCAGTGCCTGCTAGCTTAACTGTATCATAAAATTCCTGTCAGACCACAGCTCAGTGAATACTTTAGCAGCATAAGCCTGTACTGCCAAACAGAGAAGAAATCCCACTTTCCACCACCTCATCTCCCTTTTTATTGCTTCCACGTGGTTCACTCCCTCATGCCATCAGGAGCACCTTGACTCCTTGGCCATGCACTGAACGGGACTGGAGAGCAGGTCTAGATGAAAATAATAAAGCAGATATGATTTTTAGTTACAGAAAAGTTCATGTTTTTCGGTTTAAAGTATGTGTTGAGCTACAGCTCTTATCTAAGGCAATAGCTGATAAACGTTTACTTTGGTGGTTACAGCTACTCTAACCTCAACACCACCTCTTCAGTTTGGCTTGTTCAAATGTTGTGTGAGGGACTGGAACCAGATGGAACAACAGGTTTGGCTTAGAAATCATCTTTTTTTGCCCCTGTAATGTTGCTGGGGACACAGTTTGGGCACATGAATAACCATTGGGCTAAAATGGTCAGCTACTACTTGAATCAGTAATACAAACAAAAATATTTTTCTCCCACTGTGGCCTGAGGGGTCTGCTTCAAATCACATTAATATAAAAAGCTCATAAGAAAAAGTGACAATAAAACATTAATAAAGAAGCCAATAATAGAATTTAGGCAAAATAATCAAAAGCTCGTTCTACACCTACTTCCTTTAGAAGGACTGAAAACAAATTAACTAAGGATGGAGTTTGAAGATTTATTAAAAAAACATTAAATGCTAATGTTGTGGTGAATTATATTAACCATGAGTTTTAATTACTGCTGCTGCCTAGATTGTTCTTCATGATTTGAGACTCAGTCTTCCACAGTGTGTAGAGTTTACTTCAGAAAATAGGCCAACTGATGTCAACTGAGCTGCTTAAGCAATAAACACTGTGTCCAATGGTGGGAGTGTTAGAAGTGAATGGCTTCATATCTTATTAACTATCTATGAATTATCTAGTTCCCTTCAAAATATTCAGGAAGGAGTAAAAAGTAAAAGCTACCTTCTTAGGTACTTAAAAAAAACATTTGCAACTGTAAGCTTATGCACCTAGTTTTGAAAGTCTTGCCCAAAATCTTTAACTGCGTAACAAAGCAGAAGTAGTCTGCAAAATGCCCAGGAAAATTAACAGGTACAATACAGATTTTGTGATAATCTTCATAAAAATTTGTATTTCTTAGTACTAAGCCAGTTATTAATCATCCAATTATCTTCATAATTAGAAGAGTTTTCTGCAGTGGAAGTTGTCTTAGGAAATAAAATATTATGAATATACTGAATAAAACTACGCCTTTATTAGCAGCAGTCCCAGTCTTACAACCAGTTTGACTGTTTTCCCTGGTGTCACTGAAGGGAACAAACTCCTGAAATTATTGGTGCCAGAGCACTTAAGCTGTTAATGCCACCAGTACCTCGCTGTTGTCTCTTGCAAGGCTTGATGGTATCCCCAAAGATCATTCAGGTGACCTCCTACTACCAAGCTAGTCCATTTGTATTTCACCTAGAGGAGGTGCCTAGAGGAGGTGGGCTTGGGTTAGAATCTGTCAGGTCTTATCCAGTGGTGCTCCTCTGCCTTTGTGGTCATCTTATCAGACATTCCCATTTGACCTATCTTTGAATCAGGTTTCACTTCATTTCTTCCGCCTGTGGCCATGTCTCGCTATCTATTTATATCATCATTTGAATAACCTGAAGTTTCATTGGTGGAGTGGGTGAGAAGGCAGAAAAGCAATACATAACTGAGGGCAAAGCCTGGGATTCTGAAGACTTGAACTCTAAGGCTATTGAGGGAAATCTGATTACAAACGTTTTGTTTTGCAGGTGTAGTTTGAGTGCAGACACCTAGAGTGGCCTCCCGTGCTTCTGTCCTCCAGCAGCATGGTGAGCTCATCACAGCTGGCTCTTGTGTTTGGGCAGAAGTCTATCTAGTTTATCTTTCCAGTGTACACCGGTTTTCAGGTCCAAATGTATTTTATACAAATATTTTGTCTTACACTTATTGGGAGAATCAATATTTATGAAGTTATGCTGTTTCTCACAGATATATATATATACATAAAATATAAAGATAAGCATTTTATACACTCTCGATATCAATTTGAAAAATAAAGGAAAAGAAGACAAGACAGCCCATGTCTAGAAGCAGCAAGTTAGCCATTTAAGCACTTGTGAAAAAATGTTAGAGCCTCCAGTCTGCTCCTACTTTCTGCAGGTCTGCTTATCATCATGACTCAAAACATATTTTTGCAGACTCTTTCTCTGTTATTTTAGGTAGCCTGCACAATATTTTTCGTGGAATAGCAGTCCAAGGCAGAACAATTTTACTTCAGATTTTCACTGGCAATCAGATTATATTAATGGCTCTTGTTAATTGGATCTCATGGAATGGTGACACCATTAGGGTGAAGAACAACATAACAGCCTTTGAGGAACAAAGAGAAGAGTCACTCACCAGTCTTTAAAGCAAATATTAGGTCATCAAACTCCTGTGATTCCTCATCAGCAACCAATGAGCTGGTACTAAATCCTCCAGAAGGGTGGAAAGCATTGCCATTTTGTGGACTCTGCTTAAAGGCAGCACTAGCTTGACTAGCAGGCTGCAAGGATGCCCTCTCCCAGTCTGCAGGCACCTGCAAAGTTTGAAAAGACAGAGAAATGCAGTAATCATCAAAACTATAGTATAGAAACTGGAAACTATGACCAGAGCCAAACTCAAGACCAATTTTGGAAGCAGATATTCTGTCAGTTCTATAGTGAACCAGGTAGTCTTTTTTTTTTTTTTTTTTTTTTTTTTTTTTAAATAATTTTTTTATATTTATAACTTAATTAAAA